CTCGCTACGGCCTGACCGATGGTTACGCCTACACGTTGGAAGAAGTCGGCAAGATCTTCAGCGTTACCCGCGAACGCGTCCGTCAGATCGAATCGAAAGCGGTCCGCAAGCTGCAGCAGCCTTACCGCTCGCGTGGCCTGGCCAGCTTCCTGGAAGGGGCCGAAGAACTACTTGCTGCCGATGCGGCCGAAACCGCATAAGGCCAAACTCGCCTTTGGAAATTGGGTGTGTGAAAGGACGGACGGCTCGGCGACACTAAGCCTCCGTCCTTTCCGCTTTTCTTGGCAGTACTTGGATCCCTTGTTCAAGTAACAAAAGGGTACCGGCAGAAGGCTTAGTCTGCTTGGACAATGCGAAGGTTCGGGTTTTCCTGAGCGGCATCCAGCAGCACGCCCAGGACGCGCATTGCAAGCAGATACAAATAAGGATTCCCTCCGGTCCAATCCTTAGGCCAGACGACACAGACAGGCTCACAGATATCGCTGGTCGCACAGTCGTACAGGGCATCAAGATTGCCGCCGTAGTATTCCGGAAACTCGAGGCTTTGTCCCAGGTACTCGTAGATCGCTTCCACCGAAGTCAATTCGGGTGGAATGATGATTCGCTTTTCAGTGGCATCGCTCATGGCTTCGTTTGAACCTCGTCAAACGTCTTATAGTGATCTCTTGTCACGAAGATCAATCCATCGCTAGAAAAGACCAGGCGTTCCGCCCCGCGATGTCCCCCGTTGTACGCCAAATCGGCCTCGAAGTACTTGCGTCCAGGAGCATTGGGAAGCTCCCCTTCTCGGTTCATGAAGCGGTCGCCCCCGATGCTCTTCCCAGGGGCCACATCCCGTAAGTTTCCCCTCGATGCTACCCAACCAAGCTCGCGGGCCTCGTTCTTAGTCACGAATGAATCAGGCAGCCGCCCTTGCGCCACAATATGTTCTACGATCGCGACTTCTTCATGGCCGTTCAGGACACCTTGATTCAGCGCGGCGATATCGACGGTGTCCGAATCGGTCGTCGATGGAAAATT